ACATTCAGTTTGAGGCAGGAGCAGCGAAGGGCTTGTTTGAAGGGGACCACGTGCGTGATGCTCGCATCAGAATGGGTCAACTATGGAAGTGTTGCAGATTGTCGAGTCATCTAGCTACGGCATACTAGCTAGAAAGCGCGAGTTGCTGTGGCGTGGATGTCCAGTCTTCTGCGCTCCAGACGCTGGGACTTGTCAAGGCGACTAGGTTTAGCACCACATTTGATGGAATACTGACTGAAGTGGCGCAAGCCAGTTCTACACCAATGAGGTGGCCGACCAGCTTCCACAAGTGGTTGAGAAAGCATTGGCGCCTCGTCAAAGCCACCCCCTGATTTGCCCCATCATCTGCAGCGAGCAAAAGTCTATAGTGGTTATAGACGCGAACAGTGGGGCGGTGGGACGCAATCAGAGGGGCGGGATTGGCCCGCCCACGAATACCTTTTTCCACCAATAGTGATCGGCTAATAATCGATTCAAAAAGAAAACAATCTGAACGTGGTAGAAAACGGCGTGGGTGGGCTCATTCCATGCCTCTTGACACCGCCTCGACTGACCGCGATATTATTTGTAGTGTGGGCGCAGCACGGCGACGAGGAGGGAGGGGGGAGGCATTTTGCACTTTCATTGCTCCACTAGTTCCGGTTTGCATACTTTACCTGATGAAACCTGTGAACTCCTGTGAAGCTGGAGCAAGCTCATCGAGCCACAATGGTGAAACCTGTCAACTCACGAAAAGGCTCTCTAGATGGGTCGACACGTCGATGGGAATTAGCAAAAGTGCAAAATGCCCCCCCCACGCTTGTAGCCGACAGCGTCCTGTAGTGTGCCTCGAGCCCCCCCCCCCCCCCCCCCCCCCCCCCCCCCCCCCCCCCCCCCCCCCCCCCCCCCCCCCCCCCCCCCCCCCCCCCCCCCCCCCCCCCCCCCCCCCCCCCCCCCCCCCCCCCCCCCCCCCCCCCCCCCCCCCCCCCCCCCCCCCCCCCCCCCCCCCCCCCCCCCCCCCCCCCCCCCCCCCCCCCCCCCCCCCCCCCCCCCCCCCCCTTGTAGGAAGAACAGCTCTGTAGTAGTGCTGAGGCGGGCACTACAGAAATTCATTTGTGGCAGCGGCAGATTTCCCGGGAATAAAATTGGCGGAATGTGATGAACCTGGTCAAATGATTTTACGCGGGAACCACTGAGCTCTCCGAAAAAAAAACAAGGAAAACAGCTGTTTTGGCCGTGGAAGCGAGAGGAGCTATGAAGGGGGTTTTGATTGGGAAGTAGCCAGGGCCTTTGGCGCCAACTTTGCGAGCTCAGGGTCGTATCATTGGTGATGGGATAAACTCTGTTCTTCTCCCCCCGCCCCCTTCCTTCCTCGCTTTCAGAATATAATGACTGATCCACTAAGATGGGTGTGCGAACCAGGAGTCACCTGATACTAACAATGCTTCTGCTTTCTACAAAAGTAAAACTAAAATCGAAAATTTCAAATTTTCAATTATAAATAATGTTTATCGGAGACGAATGTTTTATTGTAAACAAAAACAGCCATATTCTGATTTTCTATCTCTGGAAGTTTATTAAAAGAGAAAAAAATTAATCGGAAGAATTTAACTCTTCTTTAGCTCTTCGATATCAGTCTTTTGGGTCTTCGATAGGTCCGGAACATAATCTGGCTGATTTTTTCGTGACCGTCGTGACCGTCGGCGCGAGCCATTTGTTGCTGTCGTTTCAGTGGATCCAAAGTCGCTAACTGCCGGCTCTTCTCGAGCGCTCTGGGTTCTTTCGACCCTGCCGGTTCTTTCGATCCCTTCTCCTTTGATCTCACCTTTTTTGAACCGCTTTTATGTCCGCCACCTACAGATTGAAATGATGAATCACCCGAGGAAGTTAAGAAACTCAAATTACCTCCATCAGCTTCCTTGGCTGTATCAGGATCTTTAAATGTTTTCGTGGGCTGGGTCTGAAGAAGTGTAAAACTGAAGGATGGCAAATCTGTACTCAATAAATTTGCCGCCTGCAGTTGGTAACACCACGAACAGTAACCTTGTTCGCCTGCGGGTGCTGACGCTATGCCAGGTAGATGGGTTTTTAGCGGCCAGCGTGATTGCTCTAATTGTGGATCTGCCGGCGACCACTAGTTGATGGAAAAGTGGCTTGACGCTTGCGCCAGAACAGCTTCCCTGGAACCCTCAGCGTCGTGGATGGGGGGAGGGGGGTGTGGAAGCCACCATAGGCGATTATAATCGATATTCATCTTTTACATGGGTACCTAGCTGAAGTGGCGTAATCCGGGGATTCTGAAGAGCAGTCCTTGACTGTAGATCGGAGGCAGTAGGGTCCAGAAAGAGCATGTGGTGATCAAAGTAAAACTTTTTCTTGTTTCCCAGTTGTTAAGTTTTCGCGATTTTTCTTGTTTTACGTGTGATGTCCGGACTTCGAATCAAATTCCGCCAACTAAGTGATTTTACTGATCTGACCCTCAGAGGACTTTTTTTTAAAAGGAGGGTCCAAATCCCTGAACTGTCACTTTTCTCTGCATTACCTCTGCCCCGAATCACCTCTTGAGATCCCAATAGAAAATGAGAAATCCTCTGAGAAGGAAGCGCTAAGTAAGAGGCCTTTTGTTTTGCTTGTGACAGCGAGCATGCGCGGGAAAGGAGATGCGGACAGAAAGGAAAACGACGCATCAACTGTATAATGACTGTGAAATAAAATGGGTGGGCAGTTGGAGCGCATGGGCGTGAGTCTGATGCTTTGTCACGGACGGCTCTGGCGACGCTTTGTGCTCGCATTTCTAAAAGCCTCTGGCGACCTTGTCCTCCATCCCCTAACAACGAAATTATCACATCATCTGCAATTGTGATGGGAAGATGTTCCACTTATGGGGCGTAATGTGCCTCTGAACTACGCCTTTTGGTTAGTAATGAGCCTATTTTTATTAATCAAATGGTTGCAAATCGAATAAGCGAACCTGGACTGCTTTTCAACGATTTCTTATGGTGTTTGGAAGTCCCAGATGTCATAGGAGAAATGCTTCGAGCAGTGTTTTCTCCAGAGCCAGTTCGAGCAAGGGCGGATGTCGGGTCTGATGCAGCTTTTGTAGAAGACGATGGATTGCTGCTGGTTTCAAACACTCGCATGTCACCCACTTTGCGCTGAAATTCATCACATTCACATCTAGGGTGACAGAAATCCTTGGATTTTTAAACAGAGCTCGTGTGCAGCTTACGATAGGTAGATCAGCTAGCTTGATTGAAACCATACGCTTCTGGCCTGGTGGATCTGCTGGGTTCTCTTCATAGGGCGGTGGTGCTTCAAAGAGGAACCGCGGCTCCCTTAATATCGCGCTTCACAAGATAAAATTCTCCACTGTGACAACACTCGCACAGGCACAGTTCAGGCTAATCGCATGGGCGGGACCGGTCGACATTTTCGCCTCGCCTTTTCTGTCTGCCCGCACCAATGAGGAGTAAACAAAGAAAAAGGAAAATGCGAACCAATGAGGAAGGTACTGTGGTTGTCCCCGCCCATACCGTCAACACTGGCTGCATCTTTGAATCGAAAAAAGTATTGAGTGACAAAAAAGGAAGGCACTGTATAGTAGGCGTTCTTTGGTTCCCAGACACCCACAACATTCCAGTACCACCCTTTTGTTTGACATCTTCTAGATTCCAAAAGGCTATGCTTCTTCAGGCTCAGTTTTGTGCCAACGCGTCTCGATTACGAGCTCTTTACCAATGTATGTCACGGCAATGTATCCGACGCTTCAGTAAGTTCAGGATGCATCACCATGACATACAAATCTTGTTTATTTATAATCGCTGTTGCGTAGAATCGCAGAACTGCTGTCCGTGTCACCAGGGCTACAGATAAAGAAATAATTAAGCATGAAATTTGATTACTTTTTGTTTTGGAATGGCCCAGGTCGTTTCGTATCTTCCCTCTTCTCATCTCGCATCAACGTTCCAATAGCACGTACTTGTTCTTCCTCTAACTCTACAGATCCCCCACCTGAATAAATAAAACTCTGAACTCCAGGCGATTGCATAATTCATCCAGCAATTTATAGGAGATTAACTCTTCACATACTCCATATCTCGGAGATTAGGAAGGTGTGACTGCGTACTTCATTTGAACGTGACGACGGCTGGGATTTCGATGAAATACGCCATATTAGGTTCCCTCGAGACAGGATGGGGAAGCGGGTGATTCTATGTGGGTTAAGGGACGGGGAAGATCGAAGTTGCTCTGCGGTAGCTGCATAGTTGTAGCTGGAGGAAAGATTTGCTCCATTTCACGGCGTGATTTTCCAACTAACAATGAAATGGATCCTTTCGATGATTTGAACTAGCCAGCACAGCTAGTACGCAAAGGCTGCGGCGTCTCAGGCCACGCCCACCACCGCGGCAACCACCGTTAGAATCGCCACGCCCCGAAAAGATGGACTTGCCTTGGATGGATTTGCCGCAATGTCCCATTGAAAGGCCTTCCCACCAGGTTCCGAGGAAGTACGCAACCAGAACCCTCCTATCTCCAGGTATGGAATGTATGTATTTCAGCACTTCTACCTTGAATTGATTAGGCTTTGGTGCGAATGCCGCGCGCGTGGGATCGCTTGCATCGCCTTCGCCACGTTGCCTCAGTGTGGATGTAACTACTCCTACCCCTCTATCCATCATGAATCACCGGAAAGGGCACACCTCAAAGCACTTACCTTCCTCTTTTGACTTAGATTCTCGAAGTGCTTTCACACGAACATCATACTGTGTTTCATCCATAATCTCTTCAGATTCGCCGGTTGGGGGAGGCAAGGGAAAACTGATGGATACATGACTCACTTCTTTTTTCTTCTGCAATCGATCACTCAGTCATTTGCAGGGAAACATCAACTACAGTCTTGCCCGCGCAGATGGTGGGGCGTTTTTGGGGAATAGGTTTGCGCCAGCTTGTTCTGTACCAACTTTTGAAGCTGGCGTGCGACCACAAGTGGTGGAGAACAGGCTGACGTGCCAAACCCTGCCCTTCTGAAATGCCTTAGGGTCCGCAGCCGATCAAACTGTATCTATGAGGGGCCACAGTCTCGAAGATATTTGCTGGGAGATCCTTGCTGCGCCGACATTCAGAAAATCGTCAGTATTCCTTAGCTGGATGACTCAATATAGTGTTGCACATCCATGTTGAGTCAGTTCGGTTCTGGTGCCAGTGGCGCGCCCGTGACATCACTTCGCCGCATAGCCGCAAAAAGGATCTCCTGCACCGCCCTCGCTGGTCAATTCCGTTTTCTGCTCACCTTACAACGTAATTTTCTTATTAAGCAAATGAACAGTATAATTATGATAATAAATACAGGAGCAATAATAACAATAATCCACATTTCATGTCTGAAAGAGGATGCTGGATTTCTGTAGTGACAGGGATAAAGGATAATGACGTCGCTGACGCCAAAGGCAGCGTTCAGACTTCGCGAAGACGCGCATCAACACGTTGCAACGCAATGGCGCGCTTATGCTATAAACAGGACAGGAACGCAGCCGGTTATCGATCGGACCTGGCCGCTT